AGCTAAGACCTCTATAAGACCTCATCGCGACTGAACCATTCCAAAACTATCCACCAACCTTTTCAGTCGTGTTAACGCTCACAAACATTCCCTTTTTTCCGTCAGCTATCCACCATTGGAATAGACTAGACAAGACAACAATATTGTGTGCTGTAACACTATTCAATCATTTATGAACATAATACAGTGCGTCAATCTTGAATTACGAGCTGTTTGACATTGTATCTTCTTTCTTGTTCTTCCAGTATGTATTTTATTTCGATGCTTAGTATGTGTTTTCTTGTCTCCACTCCTGCATGGGCCGTGAAAAGCCTGCATTATGCTCAAATTAAAAAAAATACTCGGGGACAACTTTCTGCGGCAATAAAGGGAAGACTACGGGGGCGGAGCTACTGCTCCTGAACTCCTTCGCGATATAGTCCGGTTCAACTCGCGGTTCGAATCACGGCCGCGTTTATGTAATTACACTGCACACAATTCGATAGGCCTGCTTTCGCAGCCATTTCTGAAAGAAATTCAGCACAAGCTCCTTCGGCGAGTTGTCGAAATAGCTGGAAGGCGATGCGCGCTCGCCTCAAGAGGAAGACGCCATTTTGACTGTCAGGTGCACGTAAAACGTGGGACGTTTTCAGACCCGCAAAAACGCGAAACGACTCATCGGAAAGCAACTAGAAATAATGGTACCTCCTTGGCGCGTGCAGCATCTCTTCATAAACAGCATCTAGCGGAAAATAATGTTGTTTTTTATTACTTTCACGTGAAAAGCACGGACGCATTCGTGAAACTGTATTCTACAACAGTGGCACATGCCCACTTTGGCTCCGTAGCTTTTCCCTTCATTGCCACGGAAAGTTGTCCCCGAGTATAGTTACAAACTGTAGAAAACATCGGTATTTCCTCCTCAAAGGCGGATGCACACAGGCCTGAACCAACGGGCGCGCGCTGCGAACTGACGTCATGTACGAGACTGCCGGTGGCTCCACCTTCGGAGAAGATTGCCAAGTGCAAGAAATAAACTATTTATTCAGTCGCAGACCCGATCAGCTGCCACGTTTCAATTGTCTGGGCGGAGCATCTGCGAACTTCTTGAGTTGTACCCTTGGTTTTAACTATCTCTACAAGTTCTGCCACACGAATTGGGGACACACCTGTCGTGAACTTGTGCGACTGTTTTGCTAGATTGCTTCCGATGTAGCCGTAATTATTTTTTCACTGCGAATGTAAGTGTTCCCCTTATTAACAAGTAAAAGTTTGTTGTACCTAATCGAAATATTAAACTCACCTCGGAAGTGATGGCGAATCTTCGCTGAACTGGGTCGGGCAGTTAACCTTTTCCACCGAAAACCATTCCCCCCCCCCCCCCCCCCGATTCTGTTTCCATACAGGGCAATTAACCCATCTGACATGCACGAAAAAAATTACGCCGTCACTGAGAAAAGCAAGCTGAATTGAATAGTGGGCAGCATATAGAAAACGGACCGGGACACTTCAGGGCTCTCCCGTATAGTACAGTGCGTACCAACGGTTGACCTTGGTGCGTACAGTCCTCTAAAGCGTTCACAATCTGTAGGCGGAAGGACTGGAGCACATACTTTGCGACTGCCCAACCTACAAACGTGAACGACAAACACCAACTTCTTCAAGTGAACGATTTCGCAAAGGGCCATCAACTGATGAGACCGTGTTAGGCCCCTGGCCTGACACTAACAGTGTAACTGTGATCATAGGCGCGGTATTGCCTTCTTAGAAGCAAATTGACTGTATGCACGGCTATAACGTTTCCTAAGTTTGAAATGATTGTATATAACCGCCTGTCTAACTCACCATCTTAATCTATTACTCCTTTTTTTCTCTCCCCTTTCCCCTCCCCCGGTGTACAGTAACGGGCTAGAGCATGCCATCGCTCGAACCGATCTCTCTGCATTTCTGTAAATACACCTCTCTCCCTCAGCACGTTTACTATCTCTAATAATAATTTTCTCCATAAACACGGGACATTTACGCACAATTTCTCAGAGTTGGACAGCAACGGCTCCTGGCGGAGCTCTTTTTATTACAAGCTAGTAAACAACCCCTCTCCCACGGCCCAGCGTATCAACAGCGGCGCCCTCCTTGAACTGCCTGCCCGTTAAACCAATCCATTCCTTTCACGCTCTCTCTCTCTCTCTGATTATTCAGGCTGCGAAGGACAAGCAGCGATCAAAGGACAGAATGTGATGTACCCGCCTGGGCAGGCAACCAAGGGAGGTGGTTTCTTCCCTGGCGGCGGCTACTTTCCCGGCTCGAAAGGAGGCATGAAAGGCGGCGGATACAAGGGATTCCCGCAGCTGCCACAGCAGCCACAGTGTAAGAGCAACGTTTGCACTTATCCATGTAGCGGTATTAAGAACGCGTTAAAGACAATATAGAAGAGACAGATTACACCAACATGCGCTCAGTTCAAACGAAAGTTTATTCACAGAAACTGGCCAGTTTTTATCTTTTTTTTTCTGTACCTCTGACAGCTGTCTCCAGTAGATCCTCCGTGACCACTCACGGAGGATCTACTGGACTGTGTGCAACGCTATGGCCACTCAACCACCATGCCTGGCTATATATATATATATATATATAATATATATATATATATATATTATATATATATATATAATATATATATATATATATATATATATATATATATATAAGGTCGCAGGTTCGTATCCTGCACACGGCAAGTTATCTTTTCACCCACTTTTCATTCTGTATAATTACATTACAATTCGGTTTAATATCTTCCCCTATACTTTTTTTGGCAGTATTGCCTGTTAGGTCTCATTATTATTGTGTATAACACGGAAAAACGAGCCCTTAAGTAAACTCTTCTTTCCTTTATATATATCGGCAGTTTCACGAAATTGTGACAGAAGCCGCGAGTGGTCACAATTTCGTGAAACTGCCGCGGTGTGGAACGGGCGCAACTCCATCCGCGTCGAACTCCCTAACGGACCTTTACATTGACGGAGTACGACGGAGTTCGGTGATGGCCTTGTGACGGGGGCATCTCACATGAAGATATACTACCGATACAGCAGTCGATTCATTGATGTGGCGTGTCCAATCTTCTTGTCGCGTCCTATCGTCATTCATGCGCTACAACGCCGCATTTAATGTGTTGCTGAAGTTGGAAGGCTCACCCTCGCAAGGCCCCACGTCGCGGATTGTTTGAGTGCTTAAGCAGGTAAAAACAAAAATAACTATTAAAAAAGACACGTGGAGGCGAGAGATTATTGTGTACTGGTTGCTTCGTTTCAACGGCGCGCTTTCACCTTGAAGAAATAAAAAAAAAACGTCATCTGCAGTGTCACCGTTCTGCGGTCGTTGTTCACTGTGTGTATTCGTGTTATCATCAGTCTGATTACACAACTGCACGACAACGTATCGTACCTCATGTTTAGACAATCGACTCGGTCGTATGTGATTGCCGCTTACACGTCATCCCCGCAAAGTTATTATCTTTGGTTTCACGTCCCAAAGCCACAATATGATCACGAGAAATGCCCCAGTGGAAGGCTCCGGAAATTTTCACCATCTGTGGTAATTGAACGTGTACTGAAATCGCCCAGCACACGGGCCTCAACCATTTCAGCTCCACCGAGAAACGACCGCCGCGACTGGAATCGAACGCGCGACCTTCGGTTGTGCAGCAGAACACCGTAGCCACTGATCCACCAGGGCGGACTACGCCCACAAAGTTCCTAAACGCGTTCAATTGCAAATTGAATAGCTAGGTATCAATATTAATCCCTCTGGGAGGGCCGGGAATGTCGTTTGCACAGAGGGGAGTTCAAAAGCGCTTTCCTACTCGCCATGCTGGTCTAATGGTCCCGCCACTCGACTGCGGACCTGAAGGTAGCAGAATCGAATCCCAGCCGCTGCGCGGTCGCATTTTCGGCGAAGGCAAAAAATGCTCGGCGATACCTTCCGACGGACGACACAGAAGCTGCGTAGCAAGTAAAGCCTGAAAGACAAAACTAAGAGACGTTCGTGCCCTAAACTGGTTGATGGATATGTCGGATTTAACGTCTCAAAACCACCATATCATTATGAGAGACGCCGTAGTGGAGGGCTCCGGAAATTTCGACCACCTGGGGTTCTTTAACGTGCACCCAAATCTGAGTACACGGGCCCCGCCATGGTGGTCTAGTGGCTAAGGTACTCGGCTGCTGACCCGCAGGTCGCGATCAAATCCCGGCTGTGGCGGCTGCATTTCCGATGGAGGCGGAAATGTTGTAGGCCCGTGTACTCAGACTTGGGTGCACGTTAAAGAACCCCAGGTGGTCAAAATTTCCGGAGCCCTCCACTACGGCGTCCCTCATAATCAAATGGTGGTTTTGGGACGTTAAACCCTACAAATTAATCCATCAACCAATCTGGGTACACGGGCCTACAACTCCCTAAACGGGTTGAGAAAAATATTACAGGGTTACAGATTTGAACCTGATTAATGTTTAATTTCAGGGAGGAGCCTGACTTCACTGCCTTATGGGCAAAAAGCGATCACATCACGAAAGTCCTTTTATGACGTGTTGCACTTAGCGCAAGTTGTTGAAACAGTTTGTGTAATAAAGTTATCGTGGTTTCACTCGCACACAGAGCAGATTGAAATACGCAATAAAAACACCCTACACGCTCATCAAGAACGTAAGAGCGCGCAACGTATTGTAATAAAGCGAATTACCACGTGGCCAACCACGTGTTAAAGCGAAGCCAGAGAAAGAGTTTCTGTTCGAAACAAAGATGCAATACCCTGCACGCAAGTTAATGGGCGGACTGACGCTGCCCCATGATATTTTATTACCAAGAACGCAGCTGCTTTTGTAGCCCGCTGATCAAGATTTTATCATTATTTCTGTGGTCGCAAAAAGCGCAGCTACTCGAACAACAGCACGTGAAAGCTGCCATCACCCTTTTCGATCGCAACGAAGACAGCACAGCCTGCTCGAAAACTTTCTGCGTCCACAGAGGAGATGACGCAGCGACATTTAGTAATCGTGTTCATTGGGACGTTGCTCTTCACTACTAGCAACGGTGAGTCCTTACTTCACTCATTTGCAGCCAATCAGTTGCACGAGCACACGGGGTGAAACTCGTCGTACAACTAATTGATTAATTGATTTGTAGGTTTAACGTCCCAAACCACCATACGATTATGGGAGGACGCGTAGTGGAGGGTTCCGGAAATTTCAACCACCTGGGGTGTCTTTAACGTGCACCCAAATCTGAGGTACACGGGCCTACAACATTTCCGCCTCCATCAGAAAATGCAGCCGCCGCAGCCGGGATTTGATCCCGCGACCTGCGGGTCAGCAGCCGAGTACCTTAGCCACTAGACCACCGTGGCGCGGCCTCGTCGTACAACTAAAATCACTCGCCTAAAAAAAACCACCGCAGTCACACTAGGGTGTGAAATCTGCACTAACGGAGCTCCGATTCCAGTCTGTTTCCTGCGTGATTCATTTTGACGTGAACAAAAAGGAAGACGCTAAATTTAACGCTCGGCAGGTATCAGAGTCTAACAGTCACCACAAGTTGCATCTTCTCTGTAATGTGGCACCAGGGAATGTCGCAAACTACTAGAAAAGCTGTTCTACATTTTCTTAAAGCACTGCACTTGGTACTAAGCTGTAAGCTGATCGTTGTTCTGAATAGTCATTGTACAGTACTGACGTATTCAAACAAGACATCAAATTGCCGACTTGAAGACTTGTATTCTCCGTTCCTCGGGATAGCCCCACCGTGGTGGTCTAGTGGCTAAGGTACTCGGCTGCTGACCCAAAGGGCGCGGGTTCAAATCACGGCTGCGGCGGCTCGTGCATTCTCGATGGAGGCGGAAATGTTGTAGGCCCATGTGCTCAGATTGGGTGCACGTTAAAGAACCCCAGGTGGTCGAAATTTCCGGAGCCCTCCACTACGGCGTCTCTCATAATCATATAGTGGTTTCGGGACGTTAAACCCCACATATCTATCTATCTCCATTCCTCGAGATAACCTCGTCATGTCGCTACCACTCCAGTCTCTAATGACAGTGTGGGCTCTGATTTACCAATTCGAGTCTAAGTTACACCATTGTGACCCAAACTGAAGATGTTGGAAACGAATGACTATGTTACACTATCCCTAAATTGTCCTGTTCCAATCCGTGAGTACTGTACGTACGCGCCACCTCTACCTGTCCCCATCGTCACCCTTCATCACTCTTTTTTTTTTGCTTTTCCCTTCTCTACTGCACAGAGAAGCAGGCTAGACCGAATAAACTTCAGACAAACTCTCGGACTTTTAATAATCTCTCTCTCTCTATGGATACTTTGTGAGCTTGTGTGGATGTCTTTGATTAAGCCATTCGTATAGTAGGGATGCATGGAAAAAGACACCTGGCAGCTTGCTGCCACATCCACCCTATACTACAGTCAGTTTAGACCCCATTCCTGCTCGAGCCACCCTTCACCATTTCGCTCCGTATCTGGATGGATGGATGGATGGATGTATCCGGCTGTGCCCTTCAGACCGTGCGGTGGCTCATGCCACCAAGGCGAAAAGTTAGGTACTATCACTGTGTGTTTAAGGATTGAATTTCACTCGCGCCTCGATTTGTCACCACCGATCAGTTAGCCTATTCCTGTTATTTCTACCCATTTCAAGTCTATTTTGCCTTCATGTCCCTAATCCCCAATGCTTTGAAAATTCGGCGCCATTATCTTCGGCTATAGGATGGAGCCCTCTACAGAACATTATCAAATGTTCAGCCATTTCTTCCCACTCTCCACACGCAATGCACCGTTTCTGTGCCTTCGTATTTTTCTCGGTACGTCTTGGTTCGCAATACTCCCCGTTCACGGTGTAAGAAGTAGCTTCTTACACCGTGCTCCCGCTTCTAGCCTCGAAAAGCAGAGAACTATACCCCGAGAATTATCGTAGATTTTTTTCTCCAGCAATTTCCTGCTTAAAATTTCGGTAGGTCTGACCGGGGCAGTTACCGCCATTTGTAGGTTTATCTGGTAACTGGACCATAACATCCAGCGCGGGCTCCCAACTGAAGTCAGGCCCAGGCCTAGAACACCTCAACTGTTGAAAAAATATGCCTTCTCGTGTTACAAAGACAGCCTGGCTGCATTTCGCCTTATCCTATTTCTTCTCGTTTGTAGCTGCATTGCATGTCTCCTTGTTTATCTCCTTGTTTATCATCTTTTTGTATATCATCTCCTTGTTTATCACCTCCTGTTTTATCTAATCACTCAGTACGAGGAGGACACCTACGTCCTGCAAGCTCGACGTTCAACTAAATGATGATGGGAGGGTCCAGTTCAACCACACTTCAATTCTAACAACCACATCAACTCTAACAAATCTAAATGCATGTCAATAACCCGGCGATCTATTTCTCCCCCCTGTACCTACAGAATTAACGCCGTTCCCCTCCAGCATGTCTCTTCATATAAGTACCTCGGCGTTTACATTACCAACAATCTATCTTGGCACACGCATGTTACCTACATCTGTAATAACGCTAACCGAACGCTAGGATACTTACGCCGCAACTTTTCTCGCGCTCCGCTGCCCCTCAAAATTCTATTATACCGATCACTAATTCGCCCAAAGCTTGAGTACGCGTCCGCTATATGGGATCCCGTGCAGCAAAATTTAATTAACGCGTTAGAATCTGTTCAGAACCGCTCAGTTCGGTTCATTTGTTCTAATTATTCCCGGACTGCTAGCATATCAGAAATGAAATCTAACCTTGACCTACCCAATTTAACTGTCCGGAGGAAACTGGCGCGACTGCATTTTTTTCATAAGATATTTTTTCACAATCCATCAATGAAGCGAGACCTCATTCACAACCGTCATACCACTCATCGCGCATTGATCATCAGCATAAGGTTGCCATTCCGTTTTGCCGCACCAAATTCTTTTCAGCAGCCTTCTTACCGAAAACAGCCGCCGATTGGAACCACCTTCCCTCTTCCGTTGTATCAATAACAGACCCTTTGTTATTCAAGACTGCAATTTCTCAGCAATGCTTGTAACTATACGCAGTTTTCCATTATCTATCTTTGTCTTGTATGTGCTTGAATTCTTATACATTTTTAGTTGACTTATGTTGCCTTCCTGATTTGCGCATCTGATACTTGTTTCTTTATTTTGTCTTTTTTTCTTGTGTGTTATATATGTTGTACCCACCCCCCTCTGTAATGCCCTACGGGCCCTGAGGGTATCTAATAAATAAATAAATAAATAAATTATTAGAGATTGGCGGAATTCACAAGCTCTCCTTTTTCATCACATCGCATTGGGGCTACTCATCTTGAACACAAGTTATGATTAACGTAAGTGGCCGATTACAACCTACTTATCAATAATCACAGCGACAAAACAACTGGTGTTCTAAAAGTGCCGATACAGAACTTGTATAACGTATCTCCTCCTAAAGCTGAGTTTTCCCTCAAGGCAATTTGTTCCGAGCTCACGCAGTATTTGCGAATCGACACCCGAGCCGGCAGCGCTATATGCGGATTCTCCATAGGTGATTCGTCCTGCACCGTTAAGGCTGGTGCACACCGGCGACTAGCAGCGGTCGCGCGACCATTCGCGACTGGCGACCAAAAAGCGACTGATGTTCACACCGACAGAGGCTGCATGCGAGCGACCGGAAGTCGCAAAACCGGAGAGTCACGTCCGGATCTCGTTATGAGCGAGAACCTCCTGAGACCGGCGCGATCAGCTGATCGCCGCCAGCTGGGTCCGTTCTCGCACAGCGTTCCCAACAGCGTCAAGTTCAATTCAAGCGAAGAACAAGGACAATTTCATGGTGCTGAGCACTGTGCCATGGTGTCAGCGCTGGCATCACAGATGCCTCCAAAGAAAAAAAAGCCGGTAGTGGATGTGACCATCCTTTCGATCGCGGGGAATTGACCGGCCATGCAAGCCGCCTGCCTTCAGAGCTGCGCTGACACGACGAGGAGTATTTCCGAGAGTCGTACGTATTCAGAAACCATCCTTGAATTTCCCTTGACTTGCCACAGCCTACAATGCAGCACAAATGCGTCTCGAACGTGGAGTCTTAAGTCGTTGCAAGGCATGAAGTACAAACGTCTTCCAAACACGCTGCGTTGAATGCGCTGACAAGTCAAGTTCCAAGACAAAAAAAAGTTTCCGAATACGGGGAAAAGACAGTGCACAATTTATTTTCTCTTTACTTTGACGGTGTTTAGCTTCTTGCGAATGCCACCACGTAAATTCGACAATTTGCTCGAGTTGCTGCGGCCCGCCATCTCCAAGCCAAGTATTCCGTGGTGGCCATGGTGCCACAGACCCAGAGGAACGCACTCGTTTGTATCTGGCGGCAGGAAGCCAGCGCAATGAAAAAAAATTGAGCATCGCTGATTGGCTAAGCAGCTTTGCGACTGCAGTCGCGCGACTGAAAAATCGGTCAAGAAGCGACTGGCCAACGCAGTCGCTTTGCGACCGTTTGCGACCGTTCGCGACTGGTTGCGACCAGTCGCAAATGGTCGCGCGACCGCTGCTAGTCGCCGGTGTGCACCAGCCTTTACAGCTGCGTCGGTGAAGTCATTCTTGGCGCAACGCCAACTTTAATCGCCTGGCTTCGTACACCCCGGCGCACCGCGAATCTTCGAAGTGGAAGCACGTACGCCCACGCGCAAAAAGCCAATGTCACTCAATCTCTATACGCCTTATTCGCAGTATTCATGCGTAAGGCATGATTCTGTTTGGACTCGGCTACATTAATTAATTTATTTATCTCGACAAAAGTTTCGACACCCTGAAGTGGGATTTAAAAAAAGAAAAAAAAACTACCTAACTTTCTCATTCACGAACGCCCGTCAAATGCGAGTCAATTTAGAACATGAGCTTGACCTATAATACGACAGTTTGTGCAGCGCGGCCTCGGTGAACAGCAAGCAGGCTACTTGAAAGCTGAGTCATCTATATTTCCGTCTACCCTCGCTGACTTGATTGAAAGAAACTAAACTCACTTAATATCTTCAAAGCAACTCGGCTATGCATGTTTT